AAGGAAAGAATAACTGCCTAAATAAAATAACCTCTCAAGTAATGTGACTGTAGTACCTATGTATCAACCACATATGGGGAAGCTATTCACACCTTTAGTGAATACTGATTTTTACAGTCTGAAGACATCACATATAAAATGTAATTAATAGCCGAAACCGGTTTGGCTCAGTGGATAGAGCGTCGGCCTGTGGACTGAGGGGTCTCAGGTTCGATTCCGTTCAAGGGCATGTACCTGGGTTGCGGGCGCATCTCCAGTGGGAGATGTGCAGGAGGCAGCTGGTCGATGTTTCTCATCGATGTTTGTTTCTGACTATCTCTCTCCCTTCCTCTCTGTAAAAAATCAATAAAATATATTTTAAAAAAAAAACATCTCGATAAAATCTCTTCCCACCCCTGATCTGGACCTCCCACCGGCTCCAGTCCAAGCCGGACTCTTGCCCCTCCCTCTTTTGTTCTCACCCAAAAGGGGGCCTGCAAGTCCCATAACTCGCTTAGCTTCCCTTCCCAGCAGTTCCAGGTACTGTAGCCTGTTTTGGTGATAAGCTCCCAGGTCTCTTTCCATTGATGTCTCCGAATGGGACCCTCTCCATATAACAGGGGTGGGCAACCCCTGGCACGCCTGCCAAACATGGCTCGCCAGTAAATTTTGCTGGCATGCAAAACCCTCTCTAATAATCTTCCACTTACAATTGTGAATCTTTGTTCTCAGTGATGACTTTTGTTAAGTCTGGTAATAGGAGGAGCCTGATGGATGAAAGCAGTAGGGCGTGCATATCCCTGAAGGTCACAAAATATAAACCTGATGTGAAATCTCTGTCATCAGTGATGCAGCAGCAAAAGTCCCACTGGTAATAGCAAACAGAGCCATAAAGTTTTCTGTCGGACTATCAGTGTACATGTATACATTAGAAAATAAATGGAGCCCTAACCGGTTTGGCTCGGTGAATAGAGCGTCGGCCTGCGGACTGAAGGGTCCCGGGTTCGAGTCCGGCCAAGGGCATGTACCTGGGTTGCGGGCACATCC